GTTAAATAAAAAAAATCAGTTTTAAAATATTTATATAAGTTTTAACAAATTTTTATTGTAGAATTGGTATTACCTGACGACTTGAAGGATTTAAGTGGTAAATATGATTATATTGTTTACATTTGATTTTAATATGGTATCAAATTCAATCGATTTTAATTAATTTTATTATTTTGCAATGCTTACAGATGATACTAGCTCGACTCCAGCAAAAAAAGCGTCAGCAAGAAGAACCCAAAGAACTATCAAAAATGTTTAGAAGAGGAAGATTCAGCATCAACTCTAGCGAAAAAAGCGCCAGTAAGAAGAACCTGAAGAACCATCCAAAATGTTCAACAAGAAGAAGTTTCAGCATCGATTCCAGTGAAAAAGGCGTCAGCAAGAAGAACCCGAAGAACCATCCAAAATGTTCAGCAAAAGGAAGATTCAGCATCAACTCCAGTGAAAAGGGCATTAGAAAGTACAAGAACCCAAAAAATAAACCAAAGGCAAAATATCCAACAAGAAGAGAATATAGAAACGAATTAAAAAATAAGTCCAGCTTTTGCGCAAGAATCATTAAAAGGTTTTTCATCAAGTGACGATAATAATAATAATTTCGATGCTTCAGGTTTATCATCTCCTGCGCAAGAACAATGGAAGAAATCTGAGCCATATGATTTATCGGATGATGAACCTACTATAGTTCAAGATTATAATATCACAAAATCATTACCAAACTCTTTTACATTATTAATTAATAATAAAAATAATCATGTACAGGCTACTATACCTAATATTTTACAAAAAATAGCATCTCGAAAGACAAATGAAGAAATACAACATAAAGCTGAAGATATTGAAATCAATTTAAATTTACAACAAAAGCGATCAACACAATTTCAAAATATGTCCAATGATTTCGAAATTGCTCATTGGGTTGCTCGTCATAAAAAGGTCCTGAATTTAGTAATAAACATTCGAAATGGAATGATGAGCAATGCCGATGAACATGATGAGACAACTTTAACATCTTCATCAAGGCAACAAATTTCCATCGAAAATGTATTATCGCCACCGGAAATTGAACAGGTAATAATATATATTTGGAGATATATGAAAACTCATTTATTTATATTTTAAATTTAGCATATTAAAAGTCAACTTCAAGATGAGTGTAAGGCTCTATTCCTTCGAACGAGAAATAACACAATCGCATTATATGAGGAACTAGTCATACGAGTATGCAAGATCGCTAAAACTGATTATAGATTAAATTCATTAACTAAAGATGTTGGTGGCTGGTTCAACACATACCGCTATAAGTTTCACGTTTCTATTGTGAAACTTGCAAACGAATTTAAAATAGCATATGAACAATATGTATTAAAAATGTTATTTAATTACTTACTTTTACTCACTTTATTGAATTAACTGAAATTAATTAATATTACTTAGGACAAGAGAACCATATGACGAACTAAATGAATTTATTACCGAAGATGTATGAAAACAAGTATTGCAGATGCACTTAAAGGCGACCGATCAACAAAAATTAAGAAGAGATTCAATAATCATTACTAAACTTGGTATCTTTGTACGAACAGCTGTTAAAACAATACTAGTCAGTATGGAAACTAATGAAGATACACAAAAGGCTATTAAAAAATGCGACAAAGATACGATTGATCTGAAAATTCCAACTAAATTTAGGGTAGTAAGCTCATTACCGGTGCGAGAGTTATTGGACTATTAAATTAGAAGAGCAAGAACCAAAGTTCAGAATATAAAAATTCAAATTTTTTTTTGAATTTTAAATGATGGAATGCTGTCATTTCTAACTAATATACAGTGGCCCACAAAAGAAACGCAAGTGTGATTGGTTACCTTTGAACGGCTATAACTCATCAACCACAAAT